CTCTGTTCCTGGGGAAGCTGGTGGGTGCCTCTGTCCTCCGCTCCACCCTGGGGCCACCTCGCTGGGAAGCGCTCCCGGATGTAAGGATGGATCAGTCTCGCCATTCACTGCGGATCCCATTAGGCTCCAGAGCGAACGTGCCGCATCCTACCTCTCCTTTCCCACCTAGGCGATTCCGGAACATCTTCCTCCTTGCCGAACTCAGGGGCTGATGCATCCCCCTTCCCTACTCCAGCACTTGAGTCCTGCATCCCAGGTAGGCATCCGTCAAATCTCCCCCTCCACTGTTCACCGTCCACGCTTGTTGTTTGGGCCACGCTCAAGCTTTTTGCTGTTACTAAGCAGTGGCTCGTTTGGGCACTGTGGCTTCCATGGGTGTGCCGGTGTCTTGCTGGCATTTGCTGCGGTCCTGTGCTGTTTTTGGGATAGGGGAAACGCTTCAGCGTGACTTGGGGTGTGTTATTTTGGAAGGGGTGATGCAAGCAGTGGAAAACAGCAGCCACGTTTGCTGCTGGGCCATGTTTCACCCAGGGCTGCTCCTGGGTACCCCAAACTGTGCCTGGAGCACAATGCCAAGGAGTGGGCACGGCGTGAGTGGGGAAGGGCAGGGATGCTAGGGCAGGCATCACTGAGGACGCAGGGATCTGGGCATCACCGAAGCCACCCTTGGTTTGCCAGCAGCTGGTCAATCCCCAGTGACCCCTGCTGATCCCCACTTCTCCCCTCCGCAGGATCCTTTCCCTGCCACCGGGAATGAGGGTCTCTCCTGCCTCTTGGCTCTCGGCCCCACTCACAGCAGGTGCGTGTCTCCAGTGGAGAGAGCTGGTAACAGGCAGTAAAAGTGCAGGCAGACGGGAGCGCTGCTTGAGGCTGCAACGTTCCTTCCTGGCAAATTTTGGGGATGCAGATGTGGAAAACTGCTGGGGGTGACTTTGGGGCTGCAGGTGAGAGCTGCAGAGCTGTGTGTCCCTGGAATGAACCCCGCTGAGCTCCTGGGGCTGAGACCCACCACCACGGGGTGGTTCCTGCTCTCCAAATTTTTTTTTCCCCTTTTTTCTGCTGGCAGGAGAGGTTTCACACTGGCAATCTGTGGCTGAGCAGCGCACTGCCCGCTATGGCTGGTGAGTCTGGGCTCAGCTTGTGCTGAGGCAGGGATAAACCCTCCAGCTCTGTCCCTTCACCGGTATCCCCTCCCTGCCAAAACATGAGGGTGCCCACAGGCCACTTGCTGTGATATGATAGCATCCAGGTTTTGGCAATGGCCAAGGTTTTGGGCCTGGGGTGGTTTTTGGGGGGGTCATGGTGAGATCCCACCTGGCGGTTTGCATCTAGGGGTATCCTGCTGATGCTGCACAAGCCCCTCGGGAAGCCCAGGAGGGTGCTGAGTCCCCCCAAGCCTCACTGTGGTCTCTCTGACTCCACAGGCTGGTTTAGGCGGCTCCTGCACAAGCCCAAGCCCAGCTCAGTGGAGAGTAGCATCAACACTGGTCGCTCTGCTTCGTGCTCGCCTTCCTCCTCCTCCTCCTCTGCTGAGAGCTCCGGCTACTCTCCCAGCATGAGCCTGGCCAGATCTGTCCACCCGTCACTCATGTCACTGTCAGACATCAATGCCTCGGGCAGTGCTCGATGGGCCAAGAGCTACGATGTCTGCATCTGCCACAGCGAGGTGGACCTGGAGCTAGTGGAGGAGCTGGTGTCCTACCTGGAGGGTCAACCCGAAAGCTTCCGTTGCTTCCTCCAGCTGCGGGACGCGATGCCGGGACGCGCGGTGGTGACAGAGCTGTGTGATGCCGTGCAAAACAGCCACTGTTGGGTCATGCTTATCACTCCCAGCTTCCTCCAGGACCCTTGGTGCAAGTACCAGATGCACCAGGCCTTGGCCGAAGCTCCGATAGCCAACGGGCGCACCATCCCGGTGTTGAAGGACGTGGATCGGAAGGATTATCCCAAGGAGCTGCGAAACCTCTACTACATCTACATGGCGCTGAAGGAGAAGAGCTTCAGGCAGATCAGAGACACCATCATGCGCTGTGAGTGCGCAGTGGGATGCTGGTGAAACATCACTCCTATGGGGTGGAGACCATGGGAAGGGACCTGATTCCATAAATTTATTTAAATAGTTGATTTTTAGATTAATTGGTTGCTAATAGCGCTTCTCCACTGCCTCCGCAGATCTCCAGGAGCTGTGCCGGAGCTCCGGGAGCAGGATGGAGTAGAGCTGGGAGCAGGCAGAGGCGTTTTGGAGCTGCTACTGCTGGATCTGGATGCAGCTGTGTCCCGACGGACCTCGGGGGCAAAGCTGAGCCGCTCGGACCAGACCTGAGAACCGAGGATGGGGAGGTCCCCGTAGCTGTCGGGGGACAGCGGCATGGAGTCTGACAGCATCCTGGTGGCCAAAACCCCCTCGGTGGGGATGAGGCCATCCTCCAGCAGGTCCCCATCACACAAACACTAAGCTCTGATGTTGGGTGGGTCCGGGGGTCTTCACAGCTGCTTATGGCAGTGTCCCCCTGGGGTGAGGACCAGTTGTGGGGGGCTCAGCCCCCTGACATGGTGTGTGCCCTGTGGCGCTGGGGTGCAGACAGGAAAAGGAGGGGCAGGCGCCAGCAGTATCTTTGCACGGGTTCGTTGAGACTATGACAATGCAGAAGTTTTTAATCTTTGTGTGTTTGTTTTTTCTTTAATCCCCTGGTTTGGGGGTTTCTGTGTCATGAGTGGGTCTGGAAAAAGCCCTGGGGGTAGGTGACCCCAAGTGGCAGGGGCGTTGATCCCTGACCTGTGTGTGGGCTCCCCTGAGGTCGATCCCACAACCCTCCTTGCGCCCCAAGGGGCTATGGGGCCGGGGGCTAGGGGACATGGGGCTATATAGGGCCAGGGGCTATAGAG